TACGTCCCTGTCCCAGTGGTGCTCACAAGCACTGCATTACTTGGTACTTGGCACTTTTTCACCATCATCACACTCACCTTTGCTGCTCATGGCTATCATCCAGGGTTACAAATGACAGTGTTTCACCAGCTGAGTCGTGGTCTAAACTACACCCATGACCCTCTTCTAACACCTAGGAGATAATAAATGAGAATAATGGAGCTTGTTCATTTGGCTTTGCCATGTCAAGATACAGTGTGTCTTTAAGTAACATTTATAATAAAACAAATCTGATTTATGTTAAGTCTCTACCTTTGCTGACACACGGTGATGAGTGGCTTTAGGTGTTGAGTGAAATGTAGCAGAACCGGGATGTCCAAAGAAGTGCTGAGCCATGGCCTGTTAAACCCAGAGGAATGCAAAAGAGTACCAGGAGCTAGTTAATCCAATACACAGCTCAGTTAACCCAATAACATGCTTAATTTGGCTCAATTGGCTAAAATAACTGGTTAACCTAGCTATATAATGTAAACACTGTCGCTATTACCGTACCACCAAGGCAAAAAAACAGTAACTTAAGTTTCAACCATTCGAATTGTATAATTTTTAATTAGTTAACTTCATCTAGCCAAATTTCAAGGTAAGGTCCTGCACATCCATGCTAACAGTTAGCTATGCTTAACGAGCAGGACAAAACACAAACGTCATCATTCATCTCATAGTAATCAATCTGGCTAACTTGAAATCTTAATTCAGCATCATAACAATATTATTTCAACAAGTCATATACCAAAATGATTAAACCTCCACGATATATTTGCTTGTAATTGTAGTTTAACTGCGTTTACAAACAGTTGCCGTTAAATAGACATTTCCCAACGGCCTCGCAGAATCCGCACGCGCGCTGAATCACGCTAAAGCATCGGCTCTGTACTGATGTGCCATTTGCGGCGAACCGAATCTTTCTGCTTTGAATACTGTAATGAATCACTGGCTAAACGATTCACTTGTACCGCTTGGCGAAGAGTCGTTCATTCGTTAAAGATTCGCTCGTTTCAGTGCTGCAACCTCCCGTATAACTAAAGCTTTCCTATACAGCTCCATTGGGTGAGTGGAACATGGAGCATATTTCTTCAACTGGTCTAAATTTAATTGAAACCATGCTTAAAAAAGAAACAGTAATGAAAGGTGTATAGACTGCAGACATGCTGTACTGTACCATACGTGCATAATGAAGAAATACCACATTAAAATTCAAATTTTTAATGGTTGTATGCAGAACAACACAAAGGAGTACACATATATATAAACAAGTAAGTGTATGTAATAAATAAGTAACACACACACACACACACACACACACACACACACACATATATATATATATATATATATATATATATATATATATATATATATATATATATATATATATATATACACTCACACACACACACACACACACAATATACTACATGAATAAAATACAGTCAGCATCCAACCAGAAGTGCAAATAGCAAATAAGTTAAATGAGGTAATAAGGTTACGGTGCAATAAGTTAAGATAACGGTGTACAGGTAAAGGTAAACAGTATGATGCATACCAGTAAACAAATGGCAGTTAAGTTAAATGAAATAAATAAGAATTATGGTGCAGTAAGTTGAGATAAACAATATACAGGTAGAGGTAAATAGCATGATGGATGCAATACAATATGATGTATCCCATGTTGTATGTTGTATCCCATTGTATGTTGCACTCATGTAAGTACAGGAAGCACCTCTAAGCCGGAAACAAATTCTTCATGTGTGCCTTGGCCAAGAAAGATGTTTCTGATTTTTCTGAAATGAGTGCAGGTGTGTGACTGCTCATTTACAAGTAATGACAGAAAGGGAACTGTAAAGATCCATTCACAAAACATTCACATTATCCTTATTTTTATATCACTACATATAGTCACAAGCTGTGAAAATACGCCTGAGATGTTGACCGTCTTTGCCACCTGGTAAGTGCTGGTATATAGCAGACAGTTTCTGAATTACCGCTATTAATGCTACATCATAGAGATTTTTAAGAAAATAACACAACTGTCAGAAATTAGCAATTAGAAAACCTCAAACATTTATTGATCAGTTTAGTCAAATAATAAGGATGGAACCTAACAACTGGCAAATGTGGTCTATCACTACACAGGCTGTTGTATTTTACAAGAAATTAAACAACGGTAATAAGTGTCTGACCATATAGACTTTTTGTAATGGACATGTAACCTGAAACCGTGTTTCTATTAAAATTCTATGCAAGATTACAGCCTCCCAACAAAATTGAACACACCAGTGAGTAAAAGATTTAGCACATCACTGCTGTGGGTATTAAAGTGGTCAACAAATTATTATAGGCCATTTCGTTCTTTATTAATCATACACAGCATGCAGTAACTATTCTACTGTCATCCTTCTTTCTTTGTATTTCAAGTGACAGATCTGACCTGAGTGAGTGCTATAGCTAACTAGCTAGCTGCATTCAGATGGAGTTTCTGAGCAGTGATGCGCCGAAGCATGATGGGGTTATATAATTGCATTAAGATATTTATCTGGGAATTCGGAATTTCCAGAGGAAGAGCAAACCCGCTTATTAAATGCACTGCTGGCCCTAATGTGCATTTATGGAATACAGTGAGCAGTAATCCCTAAATGGACAAATCCCTGTGCTGCTGTGTTCATGTTAATGCACAGCACTAATAACAAGGAGAGAGTGATTGTGCAAAACACGGATAATCCTAATGGTATTTCAAGGTAAAAGGGGAATTTTAAGGTTCTTTGCAGTGTCATAGTTGTCTAATGAAGAAAACACATCTGTTTATTCACTCTAAAATTCATATTGTAATGGTAGTTAATCAGGCCTTCACGAAAACAGGCACATGCTAATGTTTTCAAATAACAAGATTTAGACTGCTTGCAATAGACAGGTGAAAAGACTGTGTGGTGAAAATATGAGCGACAGACAAAGTCAAGCTAGAGACCAAATTTCACTGGAATGCAAAAACTAAAATAGAAAGCAACAAGAGGTGCAGGAATAGAGGAAGGCAGGACACAGTAGGGATAGGATGACACAGAATGGATGTCTGAATAGACAAAACCTGAGATTCACATAATAATTTAAACCTCACTGCTGACACACATCAGATCCATTAAAATGCCTTTTAGTATGCAAACCGCTACAAAAAAAAAAGTCATCTTAGCAAGTCAATATGGTCAAATTTATCTAGTATGTCATATTATAAGATTAAAATAAACCAAATATAAGATTACTAAACCTATTTCTAGACATTATTATTTATTTCAAGCTTGTAATTTTCTTGTTCTATCAGCTTCTTTTTAGAAATAAATGCTTAAAATGAGTAAAATTATCTAGAACAAGACTTTATTTCAAGCTTGAAATGAGCACAAATGGCTTGAAAAAGGTTTAATAATCTTATATTTGGTTTAATGTACTTATAATATGAAATACTAGAAATACTAGAAATACTACAAAGCCTTACATACCACTATATCATTTCAGAAGAAAGCATGTTATATTTGTTTTCAATATCCATTTAATTCTCATGTTAAAGTTTGTGCTGATATTTCTCTTGGTGGTTTCCTAAAATTTACTACCTGGCTCCAGGAATAAAGAATAATTATATTTGCCATAATAAAGATTAAACCAAACCATTTGAGGACAGCTATCACGAGCACTAGATTGAACGTTAATGCAAGAGGTTTAATATAACACATGGGAATAAACAAAGAACAGGATAATGAAGCAGGGAAACAAAGCAACAGTAACGAAAAATATCTCTAATAAACACATAGAGGAAGGTGTCTAGGAGGGCGAAAGACACGCTCACAGGAATGAGCAAGGCTTCACACTCAGCTGAATGTGATAGGTGTTTAAATAGTTCATGGTTAACAAGTTCCAGATGTTAGAACTCAGGGTAGAAAGAGTGATGATCCATGACAGAGGTACAGGATAGATTGGTGGACTGGTGTCTGTTTATTGCCCTGTAACTGACTGGTGCCCATCAAGTGTGTATTCAGGTCTTGCACCCAGTGTTCCTGCAATATGGAGGCAAACACATTTGCACATTATTGGACTATTCGTTCATTCATTCATTCATTCATTCATCTTCAGTATCCGTATTATCCTGGTCAGGGGATCTGGATCCTATCCCAGTAACACTGAGTATGAAGCATAAATACACCCAGGGTGGGACACCAGTCCATTGCAGGGCATGATGCACACACACACACACACACACACACACGTTCACACACTCATTCATAACTAAGGACAATTTAGAATAGCCACTCCACCTACCTGCATATTTTTGGGAAGTGGGATAAAAAGCAGAGAAGGAAACCCACGTAGACACACGTGGAACATCCGCACAGACAAGCAGAGGCTGAAACCGGTGACACTGGAGCTGTGAGTTGGCAATGCTTACTGCTTACAGTAAAGAGACAGTGAAGGATCATGTCCCCAAACACTCAGTCTAAGTGCAAGAATATAGCATCTAATTTACAAGCTTTAATGTAACATGATTACATTGACTAGGAATTATTACATTTAGAACAGGGGTGCCCAACTCCAGTCTTGGAGAAGGGATTAGATTAGCATTCATTAGATTTCCCTTCTCTAAAACCCTTTTAATTAACCCCTGGTAATTAATGGTGTAATTCTGGGCAATCCTATCTGTTTTGACTCTCAAAAAGCACACACATACAACCCTTCCCTTCAGTGTTCCCTCAAACTACAAGCCTACACTAGAATGTCTGAATAGAGAGGGAGCTTTGTGCTGGCTGAAAAATAGATGTTTGCACTATTGAGGCATTTTGTTAAAATAAAAATAAAATAAAAATCCACTTTTTTAATTAATCCTAAAATTAATGAATTATTAATAAAATTAACCACCAACAATGAATTCTTGCTTCCCCACAAATAAATTCAGCAGGGTTCTGTATGGGGATTTTGGAGTGGGGGGCATGGTGGCTTAGTGGCTTAGTGGTTAGCACTGTTGCCTCGCACGTCGAGGGTTCAAATCCCACCTCCGCCCTGTGTGTGGAGTTTGCATGTTCTCCCCATGCTTCGGGGGATTCTTCTGGGTACTCTGGCTTCCTCCCCCAGTCTAAATACATGCATTGTAGGCTGATTGGTATTTCCAAATTGTCCATAGTGTGTGTTTGATTGTGCGCCCTGTCCAGGATGTCCCCCGCCTCGTGCCCTGAGGCTCCTGGGATAGGCTCCAGGTTCCCCTTCGACCCTGCGTAGGATAAGCAGTACAGAGAATTGATGGATGGATGGATGGATTTTGGAGTGGCCTGATCTATAACAATCTACAACAATCCAGGAGAAACCCATCAGTCCAGTAGTGTGGTCTGAAAGAGATCCTTTATCTTGTGAGTAAATCAATCACAATGTACACTCTTTTTCACTCAAGCCTTTGCTGTTCTCGAACAACCAAGAGTGCTCTCTTATATAAGGGACATACTGTGATCTCAGGTGTCACTTAATATCTTAGACAGGATGATAGATGATAGATTGCCAAAAACACAAGCAAATTAAAATCTTAAATTATGAATATGACAAAAGCATTGTTTCTTTTTATAAAGGGAGTAATCTAGTGTAGTCTGCATGAAAGGTACATCTCAATCAGACTCCATCCATCTATTTTCTGTACCGCTTATCCTACACAAGGTCACAGGGGAGCCTGGAGCCTATCCCAGGGAATCTGGGGCACAAGGCGGGGAACACCCTGGACAGGGTGCCAACTCATCACAGGGCACAATCGCACACACACTCACACACCCATTCACCCACTACGGACAAATTGGAAATGCCAATCAGCCTACAATGCCATGCCTTTGGACTGGGGGAGGAAACCGGAGTACCCGGAGGAAACCATCATTAATTTCAAGGAAAGTTTAAGTAACAATAAATAAATAAATAAATAAATAAATAAATAACACCTGAATCATTTAGCTGACACATCATTCACATAATATCTTCAAAATGGGTCATGATTAGCTTTACCAAGTCCCGCATTTAGACGGATTAGCTGAGTAAACAGATGCCTAGGTGAAAAGAAGCACCAGTTCAGGGAGACGCCTCTCGTGGAATCCACAGCCTAATTAGCGTTAGCGCATTACCGAGGGACGCGCGTGCTTCCCCAGTGTCCACTGCACATGCGCAGTAGGGAGGCGCTTTGGGCGCGCGCAAGAGCCGCACCAGAGGACAAACAGCGGCCAGCGGCAGCGACTCACACTCCTGATCAGCTGTGTGGTGGAAGAGTCATTCATTTAAACTGTATTATCCTTCTTTATTTAAAAAAAAAAAAGAAGGTGGACATCATGACCATTACATTACAGGTATGTTTGATTACTGATCAGTTGATCATTTGATTATGGATTACTGATCACATTCTATAATGAAATTTTTTTATTCTATACTGAAGTGGAATTTTTGTCAAAATGTTCTGAATATCTGTAAATATCTGTCTTTTTTATTCTATACTGAAGTGGAATTTTTGTCAAAATGTTCTGAATATCTGTAAATATCTGTCTATAGAATATTGGACTCACATTGCAAGCAGTGAATTAGTGAAGGAGGAAAAGAAGCTCTTGGGAATAATTAAACAGAAAGACTGATGTCTCTGAACATGACCAGTTTGAACATCACAGATGAGAGTGGACATGCCTATCAGTACTCCTTTCCTGCTGAGGATGCTTTATATGAGGAGTACAAGGCAACAACCCGGGACTTGATTCCTCTCCCCAAAGCTGTGCTCTATTTGTTAATGGCTGCTCTGGTGGTGGTCGCAGTGGCTTATGCCATAGTGGGACATCTGATCAAAGACCTGGCCAGTGATGTAGTAGGTAAGAAGACTACAGGACGATATGCAGTGCTGTCACCGTGTCCAGGTTTTCAGACATGGGGTGGCAAAGGGAGGGCTAGAGTACAGAGGAGATCAAATCTCATTAGGTACATAACAAAGTTACTTTTGCAGAATATCTTGTTTGTTTGGGAACATAATGACATTACTGTTTGGTGCTACAATTCCTCTAGAGTTCCTAATACTCAAAGAATCTGGTCAAAATACCCACATTTAAATAAACACAATCAAGGTATTCATTAATCTGCATAAATTGCGCAGGACTAATAGATCTCTCAGTGGTGTTTTGACGTCATGTTGGGGTGGCAAGCCTTATTACAAGGATGGCAGCTGTCACACTTTTCCTGCACACCTAATGCTATGGAATGATCCTCTATAAATAGATAGATAGATAGATAGATAGATAGATAGATAGATAGATTGGTAGGTAGGTAGATTTCACATGTGGTTATTTGAGTAATATGTGATCACATGTAGAAAACATGTGAAAGTGCATTTCAAAATGTTATGCCCTGAAATGGCACATGTGAACTCAAGTAAACTCATTGTGTGTTAAAGTGTGATCATTTTTCACATGTTAAATAAAAAAATCATGTGAAAATAAACAAATTATGTGTAAAAAAAAAAAAATCACATGTGAAAATAAATGAATCATGTAAAAAACATGAAAAATGAATCAGGTGTAAAAAAAAAAAGAAAAAAAAGAAAAAGAAATTAACCCATGTTAAAAAAATAACTTGTGTAAAACTCCCCATGTGTGAAACATAACATGAAGTGTGTGAAAAGCACGTGTGTGACTTTTCTATAAAGGAGTGGCAAAAGCTTTATTATTAAAAACATGGCCTAATTTAGTAAGAGATTGTCATTCAGAAAGAATAATTGAAATAGTTAAAAACTGTTCTACCATCTTACAATAAATGTATGAGTATCCCTATATTACAAATATGACTGAGTTAAAAGAATAAGTGACTTCAAATGAAAGCACTTTAATTTATTAAACAAAATCAGGTAAAGTCAGCCATGTTTAAGATTGAGATTTGATTAGGTTCAATTTTTACCCAGAGACTGAAAGACTGTATGTAGTAATAGTATTGAGTACTAATTAACTTTCAAACGCAACTTAGCAATCACACATATCTCTTTTTTTCTCTAGACTGTGCACTTGGCCCAAATGAGGATGACCTGGAGAAAGAGAATGACGTAAGGAGCACCAGCCCTAACCCTGTTGCACTGTCTCTCTCCCAAACCAATGCCTTCCACCTGTGGGACCAGGATGACGTAGTGATCCCGCTGCCTCCAGAGGACAGCCCTCAGACAAGTCCCTTAGTGCTGACTGCTATCCCCTACATCCCATCCTTCTTCCCTCATATAGGACACCCGCAGGTCCCCTCTTCTGTCAGTACCACCAACAGTCACGAGCAGCCCTGCAGCCCTGGCTTTAACTGCTCTATTCCACAAGATCTGTAAAAGGCCATGGAATCAACATCAACATCTCTCACAACTAGTGTGTTTTGGCTGTATAATTTGAGTAATGCACATGTTGGATTGGAAGTTGATGGTTAAATTGTGATCAAGTTACCTAAAATGGAGTGTCCCAATAGAAAGAGCAGCAAAATACCATTTTAACCTTCACCTTAAACAAGTCGAAATAAATTGATTTGTCATCATTTGTTTTCTAAACCTGTACCTATTCAAATGTTCTCACTGTACAGCTATGGGTCATGCTATGGTCACTTCAGTTGCGCTTTTTTGCTATTGCGTAAGATGATTTGCGGAAGATGCACAGCCAAATATTCCCAAATAAGTAAGGAGTAACAAAATGATTCAAGGCTTGTCCTCCGAATGACTTCTTTCTTGTGCTCTTGTTGATGTGGAAGACAGCAGAAATGAAAACACAGAGGCAGCAGGTGTTGAATGGGTGTCATGTGAAGATCTGCAACAGTATGAACTTGGCCCATGAGTCTGAGACTCTCAAGTGGAAATCTTTGCACATCAAGGAGCCTTGAGGATGGCAAGAGATGAAGCCTTGGAAAATGGAAAATGTTCTTACATTTGACACTACTAATACACATGAACAGTGTGTCATGTTGCATAGATAATAATTTGATTTTGATTTGATTCTGGCATTGGTTTGATGACTAGCTGTAACTTGACCAGCATTTCAATACTCAAACATTTCAAGTTATGTAATTGGTTTTTCTATATTGAGTGCTTTTGCTCAAGTTGAACAGGTTTAATCAATTTGAACTGACAGCATTACTTTGTACTAGCAAGTACCTACAGAGTAACTAGCACCTGTTGTACCACACAATCCTGTATCATGTAAACATATGACTTTAGTATTACAATAGAAACTGCAGAAATTCAGTGGCTTTTAATCCAAATGTTTCCCCCCAATTTAGTCATCCGCTAGTCAGCTCTCTGGGGAGGGTGAAGGGCAAAACGTGCTTCCTCCAAGACAAATGAAGCCAATCAAATCTTTTCAAACTGCTGCTCATGTTGCGTAACACACTCAGAGGAAAGGGCTTTCTGCCCTCTTCCGCATACATAAGCTCTCAGATGATGGCAATTGGCTAGTGTCACTGTGATTGACAAGGGAGAGAGTATGCTATCCCTCAAACCCAGAGAGCACAATATTGCTTCCTTGGCTCCTGGTCACAGATGACTATGCCATCTTTGGGATTTAAACTTGCGATCTCTGAATGATAGGTCACCACTCATGAGCCTTTGAAGTGTTTTTGTAATCGTAAGAAAGCAGACACACAAGAAAGGTGGTTTAAACAAGTTACTTTCAGAGGATAGGTGATTTCAGAGTGAAGACTTCAGAGCTGAGGGAGGCACAGGGGCTTAGTGGTTAGCACGTTTGCCTCATACCTCCAGGGTCGGGGGTTCAAATCCTGCCTCTGCCCTGTGTTCATGTAGTTTACATGTAGTTTGTATGTTCTCCCTGTGCTTTGGGGGTTTCCTCCAGTCCAAAGACATGAGTTGTAGGTTGACTGGCATCTCTAAATTGTTCGTTGTGTGTACGATTGTGCCCTGCGATGGGTTGGCACCACATCCAGGGTGTGCCCCACCTTGCGCCCCGAGTCCCCTGGGATAAGCTTCAGGCTCCCCGCAACTCTGTGTAGGATAAGTGGTACAGCAGATGGATGGATGGATGGATG